TTTATTTATTCTAAAGTAGCAGCTTATGTTAGGTTACAAAACGTCGAAAATTTAAATTCCTAATCATTGAGACATCACAAATATATCATTATTTAATTATTAACATGATCATAATGTTCAATTTATTCGAAGTTATTGAATCAAACTGATAAATCTTCTGACTGAACGCTTGAATCAGTTTCCTAGGCTCTTCTAATAACACAAGACTAAATCTATACAACAACTTCAACACGAGAGAAAAGGAGTGAAATGTGTAAAGAACACTTGTTCCAAGGTTAGTTTACGTACAGAAAATCGAAGGTGTTTATAGCATCCTATCTAACGTTATTTTATCCTCTGTTATAGAGCGTTAATTGCCAACTATAGATGAATTCCTCTAGTACAGTATGAATCTTGACTAAGAATGGTAATAACTGTTTTATAAACGATCAGATTTTTATCTCTTATGTGTCGTCAAGTTGTCGTTAGTTTGCATTTCATTTAGCTAAACAAACCTTGTAAGAATTTGTCATAACTTGAGATTTTGTTTCGGTTAGGACCTATGGTAATCGCTAATTACAGAATGATTAAGCTTATTCTAATACGAACAAGTTCTATGACGGACTTGATAAAATAAAATCTGTCACACTAATCACAGATAGGGAAGATGGGACTTTCAGGATAGTTTTATATTTTGAACAGAAAAGAAAAATTAAAATAAAACAACTCTCTATATATAGTAAATCCTATAACTTTGAGACAAAACAAAATTAACAAACTAAAAGCGATAACAACCAATCAGAAAACAGTCGATGTTATGACACAGATATGAATTAGACAAATCCTACCACTCCACAAAGCATTTTGATCTCAATTATAAGATTTTCAATTCGAACCGCATTTCATTTAATTAAATTTAGGCGGTTATACAGTATTAGTAACTCATAAGTACAAAGAAATTAGTTCAAAACCCATTACATATATCTATACATAGTAAAGAAATTACAATTATTTATAAGTGGCTTTTGAGCTAACTGGTATTTTCCATCAGCCTCAATCTGATCTGCCAACTATTTTTGTAGTAAAATCTATTGAAATATTAGGATTATCATAATCTAAACAACCTACATAATTGTATCAATACATTTATCAAGATTAACTGATCCGAGAACAGATCACAATAGATCAACTGTCAAATTTTATTATCAGTAGGGGTTTGTGGAGATTTTAGAAGTTTCACTGATTGAAATCATGAGTCAATTGAAGCTAGAACATCATGAAAACACTGGACGGCCGTTCCGTCCTAGTACGGGACTCCTTAGAAGTGCGCATACGCGAACCTGCACCCCGCGAGATCCGAGCCCAGGACCTATCAGTCTCGCACCAAGCGCCTAACCAACTAGACCACTGAGCCGGACGGCATCCAACGGTGTTAATGTCTAAAGTCAACCAATCCACGAAGTTGCGCCACCGTACACCATTGTCTTCAGTGAGTTGATATCTCACAACAGACCTGGTTGAAGTCCACTGGTAACGGTTTCCCACTAGAACTCCAAGAGTATTTCTTGAAGTCAGTCACTGGTGAGCAGATGATTATTATCAGAAGGGGTTTGTGGAGATTTTAGCTTCAAATGACTCATGATTTCAATCTGTGAAATTTTATTATGCCAAATTCTCAGAAAATTCATAACCAGACAAACTAACCCCAACCAACATCCAAACACACACACACACAAATAAGAAATCAATTATGAAAAGAGAAGAACGAACCACTAAAGCTTATTTATAATTTCTAAAACTATTAAATTTAAAAGTAGAATCAAAGAAAAACATTATTTCATCTGTTCTCAGGAAAGAGGGAAAAAAGAAATCACCATGCATTTTATTGATCATTTCCTTTTTATTTTATTGTTGATATAAAGAAGTTTGAGATAGAGAATAAAATCGTTAGGTAGAGAATCCTTATTTTCTAAACCCTACTTTAGGTAAAACTGTTATCTTTACAATTAATTAATTGAATTGTATTGATTTAATTCAGTTGCTGAGTGGTATATTGTTTGTATAAATAGCCTTGAATTACACTCTTTTATATGTGGGAGAGAGTATATGACACTCTACTTTAGTTGACTAGGCTGAAGTGAGATAATGTTTGAATTTGTATTTTAATGAATTAAAGTTAATTGATTTAAACATTAAGTAGCAACTCGGTCAGTTAGTATGATATGTGAAAATATTTTTGGTTTGGTTCCACATGACAAAATGAGTAAGCACCGTAAAGTAATTGAAAACTATGATGAAACAGCTGAGCAACTGTTTTTAGTATTTACTGGTTCTACAACTTATGTTGATGTCTGTAGAAATCTTGATATCGATTTAGAAAGCTCAGTTAACCTTTGCCAACTTGAGTCATTTGTGGTGTAGGTAAGATTTCCCTATCGAAACAAAAAGGGGTATACTAAGTAGAAATCTACTTTCTTCTACTTTGTGGCCGTGAAAGACAGTCTTGGAATGTAGAAGACATGCGTAGGCTACATGCTTTTGATTATAGATGTCTTCTGAAAAATAACTTGCGTTTCATAGAACTATCAAGGGACCAGTAATGTCAAAAACGTCAAATAAGTTAACGAGGTTGTAGATCTTTATTCACTGAGAAGGTTGACGCATATGTCACGAATGCCTAAACGCCGATTCCCCCAATGTTTGCTGTTAGGTGCTGTAAGTGTAAGTTGGTTGAAAGCTATGGGTAACCATACCAAAACATTCTATCAGTCCATGATGTTATCGACCATTAGTTTTAGTCATATTGGTAGGTGCAGACTTCTTGGTTGAGAAACGCATAACTGTGACCAGTACCTAAGATGCTGAGTGATATGGTTTAGGAAAGATCACAACGGTGAAGATAGCTTCTCTCTTTATCTTACTTGGGATTATGAGTTGCAAGACTCCTCCTTAATATATATCTTTTCACCCTAGCTTTTTAAACCATATTTTCAATCTTTAGTCTTCCTCATTATCCTTGCAGCTATATTATCTTAGCTTAACAGATATTTATCTCTATCCTGTCGATTTAACATGATATGGCAACCTATGGAGACGTACGCATATGTCATGTTCTACATTAATTGTGACTGAATGATTGGCAGTTGATATTGGTTCGTGTCAGAGCTCACTTTTAAATAACCTGACTACTGCTGTATGTAATATCCGAGCAAAGATTAAATGACGAGTAACTTCTGAGACATATTAATTGACTATTATCATTTATACATTCTTATGGTATAACTATTCAATAATTAGATTATGTGTATTTATATTCCTCTTATTATAAGCTTTATTTTTACCTATAATTTATTATCGTACGATTTACTGTTCTTAAGCTATGTTCAGTTTATTGACTACTGCCTCCCACGTTCACAATCACCTTTTGGCTTTATTGTATACAAATGTTATTTCCTATTTTATGGTGCGTTGAGGTCTGTTTGGTTAATATATAAACCGAGTATGTCTGAAATAAATGATTCGATTCGCATAGTGGAAGCTGGTATTTGTGTTCTGGACTCAAATGGACGGGCTAGGCGGACATAGGACCAATAAGGATGCTAGGCTGCCCATACCGGTTGGACGTCATTGGTTTGGCACAGTGCTAAGATTGTATAAGTCGTATTTTGATTGGTGGATAAATCACGTGATAAAAAGCCGGACATAAAGTCACAACACTGTACTAGAGTATGGTCTATGACTTTTTTGTATGAAACGTTCGGTAAAACTACACTGATAACAGAAATATACATACAGACCAACCATGCATTTGATGTCTTAATGGATAAATGACTAAATTTCAAGAAAATGTATAACTACAAAGAAAATCAGTGGTGTAACCCGTATACTAATAGTAATCATGTGATCGTCAGTGTCTAATTTCACGAGGTAATTTTCAGAGTTTTAGTACGAAATAGTGATCAGTCTAGTTCAACCATATTGGGTATGAGATAGTTACTGACCAATGGCATTGGAAGACGGTTGATTGAATTTACACACACAAACCATTAGATTCCAACTTAAGGATCTAAAGGTTAAATGCTCACTGCAAGACCTCAATATCCCAAGTACGATCCCTAAATAAGGGGTTGTAGATGCCTACTTGATGAAAAACATAAAAGAACGAAACGGCTGTTTATTATTTTCTAGTTTTTAACGATCGTTTAACTAACATCAGTCCGTAAAGCAAACTGTGAAATATGCTGTTGAACAGCCCAATGGAAGAGTATTAACATGAACAAGAATTCGACAGTAAAACTGATTACTTGGAATAAATGAGTGATCAGGTAAAGTAAAAATGAATAATTGTATTGAATAATAATTGGTATTTTCACAGTTGAATTCATGAGTCCATCTAAGCTAGACCACCATTGAAAACTTGGAATCCCTGGACGGCCGTTTTGTTCCGGTACGGGATTACTGAGAAATGCATTTCCACGACCCTGTACTCGAGACTTCAACCCAGGGCCTTAGGTCTAGCGTGTAAACGCTCGTAAATGCTTGGTTTACACTTTATAATAGTGTCAGTTGTTGCATAATAGTACGTCGAAAAATATATCGATCATTACATAAACATTTTAAAATAACATTATAATATATAATGATTGTAAATGTACTTTTTTCACTGTAGGGATTATTGGGGAAATTGCTGAAATTTCATATTTTACATTACGAACTAATCTTGGTTAGATAATTATTGAAAACGAAGAATCACTTCAAGATTATTTCATCCTATTATGGAACTATTCAGCAATGTACATCCAAGATCGATCCAGAGATTACAAACAAGAACTTTAAGTTTCGTGGAAAACACTTAGCAATTAGGCCATTGAATCGACATTGTAGATTTGGATTGTTGGGGAGTTTTATATCAAGAGAGAAAATTTTTTTCAGTGCTTCTTAGTTTTCATTAGTTATCTAAGATAATTCCATGACGTAAAATATGAAATAAACTTTTTTTCAAAGGAAAAAATAACACATACCATTTTACATCATCAGTATGTTCCAAATAATGTCTTTGACATTGCTCTTCAATATTATACAATACTACAACAGCTGCAACAAAATAAATCAACTCTCCAGTTGGAAGATAATGTAAATTATTTCGACAGTCTCGCCCACGATAACCATAACTAAACAGAGATTATGGTGGTGATGACGTAACGAATTATTAGGATGATAATTAAAGAGAATATTTTAGTTCGAATGATATTACAGTGAAAAATACTTTTTGAAAAAAGGAGTTAAACATCTTCACAAACCTCCTATTCTAGTAAATAGTGGTAATCATTTGTTCAATAGGAGCTGATTTCGACGAAAATTCTCAAATTATAGGCGAGATATGACTAGTAGAGTTTCAGATGTCATAGAGGCTAAATCAGTGGTAATAGATAATGGTTGTGCATTATCGTGAAAAGTGGAAAACCCCATATGGTTTAAACATAACGTGCTCACTGAGAGAACTAAATATGTTGAGATAGATTCTTAGCGGAGACGTGATCATCCACTACTGGGGAGTCACTTATTAGGATGAAAAATATTTCTAGTGCTCCCTGGTTCCAAGTAGTCATCTAGCTACAATCAGTCAACAATTTAAACGATTTTTGCTGAATAAAATAATAAACATTTCAATTTATCATTAGAGTCCGACTTTTGAAGTATAGAGACTCTTCAATTAACTGAGTGTTCTGTATAAAACAAGAACTAAGGCCTACAAACCAAGATGTGGCATCAATTTATGAAGCTATTGACCGTTGATTTGAGCTATTTTAATGGATGCAAACCACCTGATTGAGGTCACGCGATTAATAGGCAAAATTTAAGTAATTCAAGAAAATTTGTTAAAGAGTAATGATTTATGAAAGTAAATACAAAATAAAAAAACAATCCACAAAAAGGATACATCCATTCCAGTTTCAACGTCGTATCCGGTGCTTTCAATGGAATTGACAAATCATAATTATGCATAATTTGCGTAGGCATATAAACATTGACTGGACGTCCACGAATATAAAATCGTAGAATTCCATCACCTGGTTAGCAAGATATTTTTTTAAATATACAAAGTAAAATAGAATGGAAAGAGAGAAAATAAAACAGGAAAATTGATAATTGTATCAGATTTTCAATATAGGAAAATGGCCATTGCTGAGAAGTCCCGTACCAGGACGAAACGACCGTCCATTGCTTCCAGGTTTTCAATGGTGGTTTAGCATAGATCGGTTCATCATTTCAATGAAACTAAAGAATCTCTATAATCTCATACTGATAGTCATTATGTGCTAGCTAGTGACTAGCTTCGAGAGAAAATTTCCGAATTTCTTATGAGGAGCCGTGACCAGTAAAGCTAATTTGTATAAGGTGAGGCAGTTACCCATGGGAGACAATGGAAGATGGTCGCTTAATTCCGTGAATTGATTGAGGCTAGATATCAACACCGTTGAATGCCGACTCAGTAGTCTAGAGGCTAAGTGTTCGAAAGCGACACTGAAGGTCCTAAGTTTGAATCCCGCCTGTGGGCTTGTGGATGTACAATGCTAAGGTGTCCCATACTAAGATGAAACGGATTTATACAGCTTCCAGGTTTTCAAAGGTTGTGCAACTAAGATTAACTCAATATTTCAATGAAATCGTATCATAAACTGATCACAGCTGTAGAGCTAGTAGGATTAATCAATGTGGACAGGAACAAATTTGATCTTCTATCTGAAAACTGTCTTACAGTCCATGCGTATTCATGATATCTTGCATAATCGTATACAGAAAATCTATATCTGGCTCCTCCACTGCTAACGTGTTGAACTAAAACTTTAAAGGAATGGTGTACTCTGATTTTGATATCTTGAGTGGACTGATATCCTTGGTGAGAAATGCGGACTCACTTTACCCAATGTGATAGAAGAAAACATAAACGTAGCCGCGACTGACCACTTTCAGGACTAAGATATCACATTGGCTGACCACTGAACAGTAGACATTGTTATGTGTACCTAATCCTCAGAGGTGATCGAATTCCAATCAAATGATCAGTAGATTTAGAATAGCAATAAAGACTAGACAAGCATGATATAATGGTCAGTGATCAATTACCGTTGAAGATGAAAATTAAATTACAAATAATCAAGTGATTACATTTAAAAAATGGCTTGCTAGGCTTACATCTGTATAATTTATTTGGGAAAAAAACTAGATTTGGCATTTATTTCCTGATCGTTTATTGTATTTTTAAGTTTACCACTTTTATTAACGTTAACTACACACCGCATTGGTTTTAGTGATCCGACCTTCTATTCTATTTATAAAGGTGTAGTAGGCACACCTAAATCAATCTTTTCACGTAGAACCAATATCTCTCTTGATGGACAGTTGTTCTTTCATGTCTAGATTCGATATGGTAAGCGAGTGAGTTCAAGAGGATACAGTCTTTCTTCATCGTTCACAATGCTCATCATAGAAGAATATTCATGATAGGCAGTTTAATAGTATCAGAAAGATATATCAAAGTGACAAATTTATTCACATGTAGAAATACAATGAGCAGTTAGACTATACATATGGAGGGACTCGAAACTGAGTGTAATAGTGGCTTGGTGAATAAAATAGTCGACGATTCAGGTCCAAATTCCGCTCAGTAAACATCCGTTTGGTTAGCCGAGTAATATTACTAACTCCCCTCTGTACATAAACTAAAACACCATAGCATGAAGCCGGATAAATAATCTTTAACAAATGAATTGGATTATTAAAATAAATTGAAACAAACTAATTAAACTGAAAATGTTATTAGTTACCTGGTAAATAAGTAGTTTCCTTGGAGCTAAAAGATTTATAGAAGAAAAAAAAGAGTAGGAAACAAAGTATCAATCATAGGTTTACCCAAATGAAAATAAACGACTGCAAATAAGTGATAAAAACTGAAAATAAAATGAAAATGTTACGTAACTATACACAACGTATTTCCCTTCCTATAAGTGCAGTTATAAATAGTAACGACATATACAAATCACCAGTGTAGTGTTAAACATTTAGTGTATTACAGTTTATGTATTGTGAATAAAAATTTTGATAGTTATTGAATGCTTAATACTTTTTTTTTCGATGGAATTTATGAAATAAGTGAGATTGTTAGTCACAAAAACAATAATTATAACTAAAAGTATTAAATTAAAAATGCTTAAATCACACCAAAACATATTATAAGAATATGTGGTAGATCTTGACTTGCTCATCATCATGAAATTTGGGTATACATGATGGTTTATTCACTGATGGAATCGTTTCTCGATTTGTAGGACATATTGCTACTCCACCAGGTTTCCAAGCAGTAGGATGAAGAGAACGACCAGTTGATGTTAAATGTACAGAACGATCATCTGAATCATTAGCACAATGATATATTGAAGAAGATGGTCCAGAGGATGGACGACCACGACGAACAAGATTTGGCGGTATACATAAAGATGATGGTGGGAGAGCAGGTGGTGGTGGTGGTGGTGGAGGTGGAGCAACTGTATGATTTTTCCGAAATGATGAAGACATAGATACAGAATGTTGTTGGTGTTGTTGACTTGTAGGACTTTGACACTGATTCATTCGATATATATCATCTAATTCACCATCATAAGCTGATCTCCAAAATACTGTGTAACCAGATGGTCCATTAGAAGCTTCATAATATCGTGAAGATGTATTCGATTTTAAAGTGGATGATTTTTGTTGGTAAGTAATGGGTTCACTTTGTCGTGACATTATCATATCATTATATTCATACATAGATAAAGTTTTATTGTCACCTTCATGTTTATTATTATTGAAATTATTAAATTGTCTATCCTCTGAACTAGCGCTAGTAATCCGATTTCGTCTAACCAATAATTAATAATAAACACAAATATATATATACTACTAACACTACTACTACTAACTTAAACACTTGGTAGTTATGTCAATAAAAATAGTCTCACAGGTATACTAACTATGAAGAGGTTTCAAATATAATAAATATTTAACTAAATTAATATATTAAAATTTCTATCTATAGTATTATTGAAAATGAGGAGTCTTTTAGAACTTGCAGTGAAATTTTCCTCACAAAGTATATCATTTCAGTAACTGTTCAACATTAAGGGACATTGAAATTACTGTTAGGGACTCCGCTCATGAGGACTTATAAACACTACGTATATACCTACAAATTTTGCGTAATCAGAACTAATATTGTGAAATTACATACATGATTACGTGTTACGTAGAGTGAAGCATAAACAATCAAATTGTATGATAGTAAACTACAACATTACTCTTCTAAATAAACCATATCAGCTAGTGGAAACTGAATTTTAATAGATAACCAAGGAACCACTGACTAAAGTAGTCTCAGTGTGGATATCAACAGTGGGACTGAAGTCCATCCATTTGAACAGTTCTAAACAGGACAAAATACGCCTCCTTGATTTCATTACTAGCCACTATCCTATTTTATTCAAAGAATTGTGGCTTGATAACAATACCAGGACAATGCGCTCAAGATGCATGTATGCCAAGAGACTGATCGGTTGCCGTCCTTAAAATCAGAAACGGGAAAATGTAAACCCCTTACAGATAGTGAAAATTGAGTTTTAACAATCCAGTATACATACAGAGGTTCGTGGAAGTGTGCATGTGTTTTTGTGTGAAACATATCAATCGAATATAGCTTTGATAATATTAACTGGCAGGTTAAATTAGAGGGAGTGGCATGTTAGTTACTCCCCCAACGATTAAATGGACATAAAGAAGTGTCTAAAAGAGGTAAATTGATCAGTTTTTAATATTGTTGTAATTACCATTATCATAGAAAGTATTTGGCTTGAATCACAAACTGACTTTAAGCTAGACAACCGTTGAAAACTACAGTGCACTTAGACAGATATTTCATCCGAGTAGAAAACACCGAAAAGTCAGATTATGCCCCTCCAACAGTTGCAGAAGGCCCTGAGAGTCCTGTCCATGATGCAAACGTAGGTTCGCACTCCTGAAAGACTTCATACTGAGATAATAAATAATAGTCTGTATTTATAATTTCAGTCATTTTGCGATGTTGTACGACCATCATTCATTGTCATTGGTGATATGTCACATCCCCAACATGGTGGAACTCTACTGGTCACGGCTTCTCATTAGAAGTTTAGGAACTACGTTTGGAAACTACTTACCAGAAAGCACATAATGATTGCAGTTTTGGATGTTACTAAATTTAAATCTTCACATCACAGACTGAATTCGACACCTAGTGAGATGGTCATGCTAAAGGAATTCCATACTAGAAGAGGGTTAGAGTTAAAGTTGTCCAACTGAAGCCGATTTATGAGTTGAAACTTGAAATCTAACCATTTTCAATTTCGTGGATTGGTTGATGTTAGACACTAACACCATTGGATGCCTGCTCAGTGGTCTAATGGTTAAGTGCACAGGCGCGAAGCCAGTAGGTCCTGGGTTCGAATCCCGCGGGGTGCGGGATCGTGGATGCGCACTGCTGAGGGGTCCCATACTAGGACGAAACGGCCGTCCAGTGCTTCCAGGTTTCCAACGGTGGTCTAACATCAGTTAATTCATGATCTCAACCATTTTCAATATAGCCTATAATAAGATGCTTTTTTTACCAATGAAATATAAACATAGATTCTTAGATAAACAAACAATGAATTTATATGAAGTAAACCAATAATCAATCAATCTAAAATGAATTCCATTGTTTAATAATATAATAACCAAGGTAATAATCAAAATAAACACCTTGTTTGATTTGTTCCACCGCTAACACCAACCGCTTGATTATTTAAAGTAGTTGATGATGAACTTAATCGAACACTTTGAGGACTTTTTAAACGAGTTCTTGCTGTTGTACTCGTTGTTGTAGAATGTGGAACAACTAATGAACTGTCACGTGAATTTTTCGATTGATGTCCAGTAGAAGTAGGATTACGAGAATTTGTATGTCGTCTTGATGAATAGGATGAGTCAGTACGTGAATTAGTTTTAGTCACATTGGAGCCTATGAAAAAATAAATAAATAATAAATTATTATATAACAAGGGAAAATGAATGATTAAGCTAACGATTGTTATCTGAGTGAGAAAAGAAACGATATGATTATGTGAAAATTAAATAGAATAATAATGAAGTTACATAATACATTGGTGTAGTAGTTTACAAGCTTAACATTACACAATACGTATATATATATATATATATATATATATATATATATATATATATATATGTACACACATAGATATAATGACAACAAACACATTGGTGTAGTAGTTTACATGCATAACATCATATACTTGAAGAAGTTTGTTAAAAAAATTATCCAATAACACAACTGATCGAATGAATAAATAAATGGATCAGACAAACAGACATTTTCATTAGATAAGTTAAATAATTTCACGGGTTGAAATCATGAGTTAATTGAAGCTAGACCACTATGGAAAACCTGGAAGCACTGGACGGCCGTTTCGTCCTAGTATGGGACTCCTCAGCAGTGCACATCCACGATCCCGCACCCCGCTCACTGAAGACAATGGTATACGGTGGCGCAACGTCGTGGATTGGTTGAAGTTAGACATTAACAACATTGGATACCGGCTCAGTGGTCTAGTTGGTTAGGCGCCTGGCGCGAGACTGATAGGTTCTGGGATCGAATCTCGCGGGGTGCGGGGTCGTGGGTGTGCACCGCTGAAGAGTCTCGTACTAGGACGAAACGGCCGTCCAGTGCTTCCAGGTTTTCCATGGTGTTCTAGCTTCAATTGATTCATGATTTCAATCAGTGAAATTTCTAAAATCTCCACAAACCCCTTCTGAAGTTAAATAATTATCAAGAATTAACAATTGAATGAACAAAAAAAAAAGAAAGCACGAACAAATTCTGTTAACAAGAGATACTAACAAAAAGAGTTTAGACAAATACAAATGTCTACAGTTAATAGCTACTAATGAACAATGGTGGTAATAAGAGTAAAAATAAATAGTAAGGTTTCAAAATTAATTAACATGATGTGGTTATAACACAGAACATATTTAAAAGTACCGTAACCAGTAGTGTAACATCTTAGTTTGGATGTTTAATTAAATGATGCCCAAGAGAAAGGAAGCATCACATCACCATTGTCAAAACTTCAGTCTGTATAAAGTGTAATGTGTAAGTATGGAATTATGACGTTGACGAGTTCTATAAGCTAGATGGTTAAATTTTCCGTTAAGACACTGGTCTGGTCGCCGATATACATTGATGATAAGTCGTATACTACGATAAAGCACCTGTACAGTGTGTTCCTAGTTTTAAAAACTGTCTCCAATCTGAAGGTGTTGGTCTAAAAGTGAATATTTTCCACGAAAACTTCCTGTGATAATATTAACCAAAAATATATTCACGAAAAACTACACTAAGATGACTTTAGTGAGAGTATAATACGTGGATGAACTAATAAAATAACGGTGACAAGTTTTCATTTACTTCTTAGCCCATCTGTACACGTGTCGACAAATAAATTCTGAGCAAAAATCCAAGAGGCAGAACATGATTAGTTTGTCCATAAAATATATTGCCAATTGGCTTAAGTTCATTTCAATATTAAGGGGTTATGATTCAAATATAGGAATAGTGTCTATTTCCCCGTTATATACAATCTACAGGGATACAATTAAGCATTCGATACGTTCATCATTATCCCTTTCACTCTATAGTGATGAAAAATATGAAAGCTAACGGATACTCATTTACCTAGTTATCAGGTACAGAATTATGCGCATGGTTTTAAATGTGAGAGCTAGAGATACTAACTAGTTGCGTAGACAGAAGTATTTTGAACGAGGTTTGAGTTTGGGATTTATTGACTAAAAGTTGAACACTTTAGTCATTGATTCAAAAAGCTGAACCCAACTTAGGTGAGGTACTCTTTGAATCACTCCAATTCTCAGGTGGTTAAAGCATGGACGATTTATAACCACTAAACCGCTACTCTAACCGAATAACCAACCATCGGAAACAGAAATAACTAGGTTATTAGGTAACATATATATCAGTGAATGGTCGCTGAATAGTGACCAATGTCATATTGTCATATTGATCAGATTCTATCGGTCTAGTTGCATTAATCTGAATGAATCAAGATTGCGTGCATTATGTTGAGGTGTTAGGTGGTTGGAAGTAATCGGCAGGGGGCCCTCGACCTAGGTTTAGTGCTAATTCAATGGAATACAATCAACACTGAAAGATTAGACAAATATGACATTAGTCATTACTAAATATTCAGTCAATTGTAAGTATTTCAGTCCTATAAAAAATTCAGTAGCAACCTGAACAACACAAACTGTGAAGCTGGGTGACATGAGTTGAGATTCATTGAGCAGTATTAGTTCCGTCGAGATTGTAGGTAAGTTTTGGTGATGATTACCAACTAACAAGGAAGCTAGGTTGAGCAGAGTATCCTGCCGACCACCTACAACCATCCAGTAATCCTATATCAAACAGCCATCCTCAGTGCCTAAGCAGCCATCTGATCTCAGTTTAGGTGTTATCTTAAGTAATCAAGATAACAAGGTCTATTTCGTTACCTCGTGTACTAGATGTAATGGAACAAATCAACAAGAATACTCATAGTTTACATTATGAACTAATCTTAGTCAGACAGCTATTGAAAACCAGAAAGTACTGGAAAATTATTACGTCCTAGTGTGGAACTCCTCATCAGTATACATTTAAGACCCTACTAAGGGAAGAATCAATGACCAATGGAGCTTAACCATGCCGGGTATAAGGCAGTTATTACCCACCGATCCCACTGAAAGGTGGTTGTACAATCCTGCGAACTAGTTAATGGTACTGCGTCCCAACCCGTGGGAAAGTGTGCGCGCTGATGAAGAGCCCCATAACATGATAAGACAGTTATTGATCTTCACTAATTCCCTATGGTAACAATTCAAGAGTTATTAAAGTGTTAATTTATTTTACTCATCGCAACGTTATGAATCAAAGGTATATATATAACCCTTGAAATTTATAAAAACTTAATGTTGTAAATTCAAAGGAGAGAAAAATGGAGAAAATGAATAATCATGGTAACATTTCTTCTCGAACAACAACACCATTACCAATACTGAGTTTTAACAGAAAGAAGTTAGAAAAACACCAACTACAATAAAACTATATATAGATGAGTGCATGTACACAAAATTCTTAATAGCCATATATGTATATATATATCATGCATAAGATTTTAATATGCAATGAAAAACTGAGCAATACGTAAGAAAGCCGACTGATACATACAATATATCCAGAGGGTTGAAAGAAACTATATAGACATTTGCACACATGCACATACATACACACACACGTACACGCACACACATAGAAACAAGGAGTATAATTATTATGTACACCCTTGAAAAGTAATAATAATCATCATCAGATAAAAATGGAAAGTATTAAAACCAAAAAAAAAAGAAAAAAAATTGAAATAATTTTGTTTTACTGAAAAAGAATAATATAGAAAAGATAATAAAGAATAGATAAGACAGTATATACAATTCAATTGTATCAGGGTAATAAGGCTAAATAAATCTAAAAAGCATCTATGATGATGATAATGTGCTTATTATTGATCCATTTCAATTAACAACTATATAAACCAAATCTAACACTCATCATAATATTAGTGTTGTATTGATTCCAGTTTTTTTATTTTATTTTATATATATTTGTAAAACTAAGCAAAATTAAATAAAAAAAAACAAGAGGCGGTTCAAGATTAAATTCTCAAATAAGACATGATCAAAATGTCGTTGAACTAGATATTAAAATAGAATTAAAAATTTAATTCATTCAATTATTCTAATGTAATGTAAGACGTGGAAGATCATAACTTTGCATTAGATCGTTGTTGAATTTTTAAAGATTAGATTCGACAGTAATTCTCTTTTTTTTCTTAAAAATTCGATTACATGTTCAAGTAGGTGTTATATTCGAATGGAGAACAAATGAATGATAACTGTTAGGAGTTATTTATGAACTGTTATTATATATATATATATATATATATATATATACTTATTGGATAACTATTAAGTAACTAGATTATATGTATATTTATGTTCCTTTTATCATAAGCTTCCATTTGATCTATTGGCCCCCAAATGCCCTGGTACGGCCGAGAGTGGGGAGAGTCCGCCCTCCCTCTCCAGATGCTCTCACATGGCCACGCGTATATAGCCTCTGCCACGGAAGTCCTACTCACTGCCTCCTCGTGGCACCGGTATTGTTTACGAAAATGAGAGAACGAAAAGCGAATGTCCGGCGCTTTAACCGGATCCCAAAGCAATGGTGCATATGGGCTCCAGTATCCTGAAGGAACGAATGGCATAGGAACCAATCGTCCGTCACCGGCTACTATGGGACTGCATCTCTTTACGATGCTCCACTGACTTTTGGACCAGACCTTTATGTCGAAGGCTCCAGGTGTGACCCACTAAGAAAACCATCTGCTTCGGTTTGGGCACCTGGGCAGTATCACAGCCCTCACACATATCAAATGAGATTCGTGTGGCGCATATGTATTTGTGCCTCCTTGTATCAATATCTGTGTGTTAAAATAAATGAAAATAAATTTGATCTATTGGCTACTGTTATACTAGTTACCATTTTTAATTTATTTCCAATTTATTAGTTACAATCTCAGACACTTTTGGCTTGATCATATATAATTATTATTCTTCATTTCATGTTGTGATGGGTTCTGGTCTGTTTGTATATAAACTACATATATCTGAAATATACGATTCATATAGCGGAGGCTGATATCTATGTTCTAGACTAAACGGGTTACGTTAAGCAAGAAATTACTAAACAGAGGACAAATAGGGGCTCACAGTTGAACCAAGGCTTTGTAGTGTTGCTTGACGTATCATCGGTTTAACACAGGAGTCGGTATTCTGATTGGCGATTTTGTCATGTGATATTTGACTGGTCATAGGATGTAACACTAGACA